TGGGTACAATCTTTTTCTGTCTTTAATTCGTGATTACGCGAATATATTACATAAATATTATTAGGATTATTGTTATTTTCTTTCTGCGCCTATATATATAGCGTCTTCCTGAATGCTTCTCTTCTGGTTTCATAGTCCCACTTTCTCTGTGTAAAAGGTCTGCCAGGTTCCATCTCCCTTTCTCTCTGTATGCATACATTATACATCTATATCGGCAGAAAAATCAGAATTTATTCTGTTTAAATTTTGCTAAATTTAACCGGAAACTATTCGCCGGAGATCTCTCCGGTCAGTAGTATATGGTGAACCTTTTCTCGATTATGATGAATCGTTTCAACTGGAGCCCATGACTAGAATTTTTATTAATTATCTTTTCTTTCCCTGTCTCTGTTTTTTTGCATCTGATTTTACTGAACTGCAGTTAATTGGATGGATCCAACAACCGCGAGTATGCTTGGTTTTACGTTATTGAAAGTATTTGTTCCTATTTTCATGTGATAGTATTTTTGAGTCCGTGATTTGGGTTTAGTATCTGCATTTAGTTTTAGGTTTTCTCGAGTGTCGTGTGTTGAAGTCTTAAGTGTTTATTGGGATGCAGCTTGTGCATGAATTGGATCCAGTGAAGTAACAATTAGGCTTAGTATTGATTTGTAATTCACTTGCGTATTGTATATATCAATGTTAGAATTAATTTGTTTCTCGGAAGCTTTTTGTGTTGTTCGGTGGGTTCTATCTTGTATGTTGCGAGTGATTCTGTATCGTTGGCTAGTTAGTTTGCTGTGTGGGTTTGAGGTGAGGAACTTATTGGGCGTATCAGTTCAAACATGATCTCGTGAAGTTATTTCTTGGCTTAGCTTCAATTGATAGCCCATTAATTCATGTATCCCATGTCAAAATCACTTGTTTGTCTGAGCTTTTTGTGGGTTGTACTGTTGCCTTGTTTTATTGGCTATTTGGATGTTGTTTTGTTGTCCTGATGCTGTGCTGTGTGGATTTAAAATTAAGGCGCAAAATGCTGTTGGCTTACAAAAAACATCGTCTGTGCCTTGTCACGTGTCTTTTAGCATGTTACATAAAGTATGAAGTACCTTATATATTAATGGTGAAGGAATGCCGTAAATAATATCATCTTATCTACCTACAATTTGAGATTGTGTACGCTGCCTATGGAGCTGACTTCTGACTGCCTGAAAGATGGTTTTGTTGTCAACTTACCATAGTAGATCTGAATCCTGTTTTTTGGGCAAAGTGAATCTATGTTTTTTAACTTTATGAATCACTTGTGGTACAACTTGAATGTGCTGCCCACGTGTGTAAGTCATGCAATGCAAATATTTGTATTTAATTTGAAAAGATTATATGCGTGAGTCAGTTGACAGATTAGCTTTACTGAATTTTTGCGTGCTGTCAATTGAAGAACCCTTCCCTATTTTGCATAATAGCTGCAAAATTTCATTGAAAGTTGGAATTTTTCACGTTGATTAACAATGACATGCTGGGATATTGTGGTGGGAGATTCATGTTTATATTTCTCACTAGAGTGTAGCTTATCGATGGCATTCTATCTCATTATAAACAGACAGATTTTAGGAATAAAAGTATTATCGCAGGGAGCAACTTGCTGATTGTATCTTTACCATCCATGTAATGTGAAAGGAACTAAATGCATTATTACAACTACAAGTGTTTAGTAATATCGGATATGTTATCCAACTTTATATTTTCTACCAAGATTTTTTCTCATTTATTTTTTCCTTTCTCCTCTTTTTGGTTCCGTACAACTACTACACCACTTACCATTTTCCTTAACTCTGATATTTGACTTTCCCGTCAAACCATCATCCATTCATCTTTTTGCCCTTAGTAGTTTCAATTTTGCTCGTCCAATATTCATGAGATAATATGTTTGCCTTCGTTAAAGCTGAGAATGCAGTTTGAGTTTCCTGATAATCTATGTCAAAGTTAGTTTATGAATATAACAGATCACATATTTTATATTACGTTTACCTTATTCTTTTACTGACTGGATCACCTTCTGTATTCTTTTGTGCTCCAGTCTATAAAATCATGCATCGTTAGTATCATTTTGTGCTTCATTCTTTATAATCATGTATATTGTATCATTTACATGTAGACCTCTATGCAGTACCCTGAACGATTCAATTATAATCCAGGAGCTTAGATGCCTGCTACAGAGCTCTGCTCTAGTGGAACTCTTGATGCAATGAAATCAGACAAGGGGAATGATTCCCTAGACACTTTCATCAGACAAGCCATTGGAAAGGAGCCTCTTATCCCTTTTCCAAGAGCAGCAGATAGTTCTATGCAGTGGATCCAGTTGCTTAATGCCCTAGATCAGCCAGGTGTGTAATACTGTTATTTTCTAAGTTACAAATGCAATAATTAGTGTGGAGTCTATTTATGCCTCTTTTAATCTGATGCATGGATAGTTTATCTGAGCTGTGGTGACCTTCTTGGGTGGGTGGGTGGTTGGGATCCTTTTGTTGCAAAGGTATACCGTATATATATGGAAATTGTACTACCTTGAAGTGGAAAGATACAAAGTGCATATATATGCATAAGATCTTACTATGTTAAAAACATTCTGTTTATGAAAAGATACGAATTATGTGCTTGGAAATAAACGAAAGCTCTTTTAAGGTTATTATGACTAATAACTGGGCTATTGCCAAAGTCCATGTTCTCGGCCCATATAATGTGAGTGACTAGGGTTTTCTAATGATAAAGCTGCTCTCGTATCTTCGTCATTTAGCCGCCTACCACCACTCATAGTCACTGACTTACAATTCATTGATACAACTACAAACTCACCAGAGAACGACAAGAGGAATAAAGCTTGATAACGATTTCACTAATGTGGGTGCATTGTGGTTGTAAATTCTTTTCTCACCTGTGTACCCTCTCATTGGATTGTTAATTATGTATTTGTTAGCCATCCGAATGGCGAGTGCCATGTCTGACATGTAACGGAGACATGTATGTTAATCATTCAGACATTTGCTGACGTTGTTTATTTGCCCAAAGTTAAATGCTGCGATTATATTTGTTCCCTATATGGATCTCTGATAGATCTAGGAGTTCCCAGAATAGCAAGTGTATAGATGCTAATTTTAATGTTTTATCTTCTACTTGCAGATCTCCCTGGTTGGCCATTGATGACTCCTGTCAAACCGCAGATGCAGAAGTGCGGGAAGTGTTCCCGGGAGTTCTGTTCCCTGATTAATTACAGAAGGCACGTCCGGGAGCATCGCAGATCTCTAAATGTCCACAAGGTTATCTAATTGTCTACAGATTCTTTAGAAACTTGTAAAACTCAATGCCCCCTTTTCTGTATTATTGGTTTAAGCCTTTTACATTTTCTAAATATGTTGATTATTCTGTCAGCTATTGTTGGCTTCTGTAAGATAACGTCAGTAATAGTTCTGAATGTGGCATTTTCAATTAATTATATAATGCTTGTATATATGCTAAGCAGGATTCTCACAAGAATAGGGATTTGTTAGCTGCCTTTTGGGATAAGGTAATTAGTTTCCCTGCTGTGTTCATTTCTTTCTATTTTCTCCTTTATGTTCCATAATAGGATTAATGTTTTGATTTGCAGATTTCGTTGGAGCAGGCCAAAGAAGTAGTATTATTTGATGATGTGATGCTTAAGGTAGTCATTTGATTTCTCTTTTTTCGACAATTTGTAATTCGTCCATTGACAAGATACGATAATTTAGGAGCCGATGTTGTCGCTACTATGCCTGCTGAGTGTGGTGAACAGTGTCTTAGTTGGAGACCTTACTGGTTTTAAATTTTTACTTTCCCCTTGATGTCATGAGTACTAATACTGATGTAAATCTAGCTTGGCCCAAGAACCAGCTTAAACTGGAAGTAATTTATGATCTCCTCATCAATTTAAGAGAAGTATTATTTTAAGCTTCTTTCCTAGGAAATATGAGAACCATAATTGGATATCTTGTTCATGATATTCTAACTTGGTGAAATTCTACTTGTTTTTTAGGATTTGTCACTCAAAATTGGTTTTGTTCTTGTAAATTGTTTTAACCTGTGTGCTTCTGGAGAAGATTTTGCTTGTGTCTTTTGGTTAGAATAAATTGAATTTTGAAGTGGCACTACATGTAGGAATAGAATTTGTTGCAATATTATCAGAATATATGATATGGTTTCATGTATGTACTATATTAGTTCACATACAATGGTAAAAATATATCTTACTCGTGATATAATTTGTCTGCGGTTTCTGATTGCAGATGATATAAAAAGAACGTTTCTATTGAGTTATGATATCGTAACCTCATATTTACTTGCATGATTGCATCTATTCAATGGCCTGTGTTGTGCATTTGTTTTTATTGGCTTCTGCACAACCTGTCAACCTGTTATAGCTTTTCCTGAATATTCAGTTGATATTTTTTCTGTTTATTTCTTTTCCTTTTTTAATTCCTAATTAGGTACAAGACTAGATGTTCTCTTCTTTTGTTTTCTTTTTTAAAATAATGTCTGCTATTCTTCTCTCACTTCGTATGATGATATCTGTTTAAAATTGATTATTATTATGTTATCCGTTCAGGATATTCCTGGATCTTCGATTATAAGGGCTTTGGCATCCTCTGTCCGCAAACCAGGCATTTGGACTCTTCCGCCTATCTATGTTAGGGCGGGCACAAATCTGTTGGTGAGGAGGCATCATCTATTTATCGAATTGGCTCCCTGTTTCATCTCATCAGTTCATTTTTTCACATATTCCTCTTTTTTTTTTTTTTTTCAATCACAGGATATTATTCAAGCTAAGCCCTTGGGGGTGGGACTACCAATATCCTCAGGGGAATTATTTAGCATCCTTGACGATGCTAGTGAGAAGACATTTCTATGTGGTGGGACAGCTGAATCTGTGCTGAAGTTTGTATTTGATGGAGAAACTGCTAAAAATTGTCTCGAGTTGAAGAACCTAGTTGCTTGCACTAGCTTCCTCTTTGAACAGCAACTGGTATTGCTCTTATTTGCATTTTCCTCTGTTCAATTCATATCAATGAATACCTTATTAATGTTTACCCAGAAGAAATCAAGCTTGTAACAGAAACTAATGTTTTGTTTATTTTACTTAAGCCGGATTTGCAGCTGAGACGAACAGACAATCATGTTTATATACTTTTTATTTGACAACCCATTTAATAATTGTGCCATATGTTGGGCATAGCTTCTGTTAAATATCTATATTCACTTTATGCGACATGATATTTTCTGAAGATGGCATACATTTTCTTAAGTCATCTTCTACATTCTATCCTTTAGTTCCCGTTTTTCTTATTTTTCGTCTCTTGAAGTAACTTGATATATTCTGTGCCAATTAATTCTGCTATATAACAAGGTGAAAGCTTGGATTGCCTACAAAGATGCGGAGGCTTTGAGGTGTCAGAAACTGCTTGTGGAGGAAGAAGAAGCTGCACAGAAGAGGTAGGTCCCATTTGGCGATCACAAATTCTTACTAGTTTTTACAGTTTTAGCATTTTTCCTTCAGCTATAAATGGTTATCTTAAGGTAGTAAAAGATAGAACATGTTTCTTGTTATTTCTTTTGCAAACAACCAACCTTCTTGATTGTTAATGTTCTGTACAAATCATTTTTTTTTTAACTGCACCCAGACAAGCTGCGCTTTTGGAGAAGAAGAAACAGAAAAAGCTTCGCCAGAAGGCGAAAGAACAACTTAACGGGTCTGGCCAAACTGTGAATATCAATGTTGATGTGGTTGATATTGCAGATGAAGCATCCGGGCCTTCATCCCCATCCGATACGAATTCAAATTCTCCACCAGATTTGCCTGCAAACTCAGATTCTAGCCTAGAATCCACTCAGCTCCAAACCAAAGAATCAAATGAAGAAAATACTGAGCAACAGTTTGTAGATAACAAACACGATGAAGATTCTCAAACAATCAAAGCGGACCCGGATGACACTTGCCACTCATCCACCAAACCTTGGCAGGCCTCAAAATCCCTACGTGGCAGCCGGTTCGGATTGAATCATCAACCTCTTAAATCCGAACCTATGCATAAGTTCGGCCCATCCAGGGATCGGAGCCTACAGAACGGGACCAAAATCTGGACCAAGAAACTTAAAGTCAATACTGATGTGGAAAAACCAGAGCCCCCAGCTGCTCAGGAAAAAAATAATTGTGAGGTGATTATCGGCTCTATAGCCGTGACCCTCAAATCTTTTGTTGCTCAGCCGCAGAAAGATAATCACTCAAATAAAGTTTCGGATAAATCCAATAATGAGCATGCTGTTCTTCCTAAGAAAAATGTTCCGGAAAAATTGACGAAAGCTCATCATGTCCAGCCTGGAAATAATCGTGCGGGTCCTAAGCATTGGAGGCCTGTGCGCCATGTTGAAGCTGAAACTACCCCATCTTTGAATAGGGGCAACGAGGATACTGAGAAGGTTGATACGTCGAAGAAGGTTGCTGACCAGGTTTTGTCTGGCGAGAGGTCCGAGGAGTCACATCTGGTGGACAATGATTTTGAGAACGGGAAAATGCTATTCCGTGAAGTTTCAGGCGAAGTCTATGCTTCGCAAGGCCCTTTGCCATTCTCCACTGCTGCTGCTAGAGAGTTTCTCGCTCAGAGTATGACTATATGCCCTTTGGTTTTGATCTAATATGGTTTTGACTTTTGATCAAAATTTCAATATGCCCTTTGATCTAGTATGCCATCCCTTGCTCCACTTGACCAATCAAAATTTCAATTACCCATCAAGATACTAGTTTGTTTTCTCTTGACAAAAATCTGAAATTTATGGTGTGTTTTCCAATAAGAAAAGGAATTAATTGTCGTACTTATGAATGTTGTGTCCTGCACTCCATGAATACGTGCTAGAAAGAGTATAAACGTGCATCTGCTCTTTTTTCTCTTCCAAAACGAGTCTTATTCTTTTCATAATAATATGCAGGGTGGAAGGAAGCTATTTCATCCGATCACGTGACATTAGAGCTCTCAGAGCCAAAACGTCCCAAACCCTCTGATGTTCAACCTGAGTCCTCAACAACAACAGTTCCCGATGCATCAGATACTCCTGTGAATCAACTCGACACAAATATTCAAGCCAAGCCGAGTAAAAAGAGGGGGAAGGGTGGGAAAACCAGATACATAGTCAAACAGAAAGCCGATGCCTAGTATAAATAAATAATTGTGAGTAATGCGTAAAGTCTTTTAGCACATGACATTTGGTTATAGTTTTAGCACATGACATTGGAGGTGAAGTTTTTTCTCTTGGGCAAGTGGATTTTTATTACATTTAGCAGGACCGGCGAGTAGGGAGATTTATATATTGCGGCACTTTGTTGTGTGTGGGGGTTGGGTTGGGGGAGGGGTGGTTTTGATTCCCCATTTACATTTAATCAATCTCATGAACTGGGTTTTGTACTCTTATTTTGAGAGAACCTGTTATGAAATATCAGTGTTTTGATTATATGATGTGTTGTGGATTTGTATGCATGGTTCGACCAGATAAATCTCTGGGGTTATACAGTGATAACCTGATTTTCGGCTCATAATGCGTGGTTGCTTATTGGTAGTCATATTGTAATTGCGATTCCACCATTTTCATTCATTTGCAGGTAGGTGTGAGCAAAATCGAGCTGAATGTAGTTCGGTTTAGTTATTTTAGTGTAGGAAATTTCTGGGTTGGTTTTGGATTGTTTGCTATTTTTATGTGTTGCAGCGTGTCACATACGTTTTTTTCAAGAGTTTGGTTTTTGGTTTTTTGGGTGCGGTTTTGCGCGAACGGTGAACCGAACCCAAATGCATTGAAAAACCGAGAATCCGAGTTGTCAATTTGATAAGGTTGAGTTCGGTTATCTTTTAGCCTAGAAAACTTTCGGGTTCAATTTTTTGTGTGTTCCGGTGTGGTTCAGTGAGAATTTTTTGTACACTGTTAGCTTAATGCTCAATCCTAAATGCAGGAGCCATGTTACTGATTTTTCTTTTAGAAAAAATAAAAAAAATTATGAAGAGTGTTCTAAATTCTACGACACTAACACAGAAAATCACTTGGTTCAAAGACAATCATTATTTCTAATTATGTTTAGTGTTATAACTAATTCCATTTGGTACTGTTATTAATTAGAATTTGTTTTATTAAAAATAGTAACACAAATTGCATAATGTAAAATAACTATATAATATTAGTCGACTTCTATGTGGATCCGGAAACCGGAAGGTCCCTGTACCAAAAAAAAAAAACTATATAATATTAAAAATGATCACAACAGAACTTGTTTTTATTTGGATATACTTTATTTAGACCAACTGTAAGTATTTTCTCAAGTAAACATAATGAAATAACTAACTCAATTACTTTTGCCCTTTGAACCATAATAAATCCTAAAAGCCTTGGGCAGATAAACCGGCAATAGAAACCCAAACAGATTGAAACACCAAAACGCCATGTTCACCGCCGCTAGAGCCCGGCCCCCATACAACTTCCAGTTCCACGTGCTCCCTCCGCCCTCCCCACCACCACCCGCCGCCGCCGCCGCCTCGCTTCTCAGCTGTTAGTTATGTTAAATGGTTTCTTGTACAATAAGTTAGGTTTAGGCCTTCTATGTATCTATATATATGTGTATATGTCTTTGTGAATAATACAGAATATATTTTTCCCACTTTCTTACATCAGCCAATCCACAATCGTGAAGATCCTCCTCGAATTGTAGAAAACCGGAACGAAAACCCTAACCGGCAGCGAGTATCCGCCGGCGAACGAAACCCCCTCCATGAACACCTGGCTCGCCAGCAGGAAGAGGTGCGGCGCCGCCGCGAGGACCCGCTCCCCGTCCCCCTCGATCGCAGCGGCGAGCACGAGCACTATCGGGAGGCACAGACCGATCGCCGCCGCGAAGGCGACGTACAGGCCGAGGGCGGGGTTTTTCCGGCCGAAGACCGGCGGATCCGGGTGAGGGGAGAGGAGCGGGAACGCGAATCTGGATATGAAGCACATGTAGATTAGGGAGAAGGCGACGAAGGCGAGGTCTGCGGCCGCGACAAGGCCGGCGGCGGAGAGGGACACGATGATGGCGAGCATACTGAGCTGCCGAAAATTGAGGAGGCTCCGGATAGAAGCCGGCGATTTGGCGCCGGCGTTGCTCGTCTCGTGGTCGAGCGGCTCTTCTTTTGTATGGCTAGACATTTTTTTTGATAAACTTTCTTCTCCTTTTTCCCCCTTTTTTCTACTGAATTAGCTGCGGGAATATAGTATGAGTTCAAGAATTTGACAGGAGAAAGAAAAAAAAGGGAAAAGATGGAATGTTATCTAGAAAGAGAGGTCAGTAACGAGAGAGAGGTGTGACTTGTGATGTGAGGCATAAGATCAAACATTTATTTAAAATAAATATATACTAGGAAATTTTTTCGTGTACAAACACGTGTTGAGTTAAGAAATAATAGTATATGATAAAATTTATTTATGTCTAATATCAAATTTAACTTTAGAGCAAAAATAATGTAAAAACATTACGAAGTATAAATTTTCGCCCTGTCAACACTCGAAGTGTGAGAATCTGCTAACTAAGCTAACACGTTTTGAGTTAATATATAAAGAGGAATTTTAAAAGAGAGGCCATCAAAAGGAACATACATTTTCAAAAAAAAGTATTTAAATTTAGAAGAAATACCTTTTTTATAATTTTTTAAAATTTAATTATATATATATATATATATATATATTGTGCAAGCAAGGAGGCTACTCAAGCCTAGATAAGAACCTTTCGAAGGTATGACACTCCAATCCTAGTTAATTTTTTAACTAGAACTATACGACACAAATAGAGTATTTTACTAGTTATTTCACAGCATTGTATAAAGAAAAATGCTACGTGTACGTAAGAAATGTATATAGAGGTATACATGACAGCTCACATGGAGTAGAGTCTATTTAATTTTTTATTTTTTTAGTTCCATTCAATGTGAGTGTTATATACACTCTATCTACAATACAATATTATGTAATTGCTGTAAAAATTATTAATTCTTTCACTATTTTCTTTTTTCAGCAGAAAAATCATAGTCATCTACTCAAAGTTGCAGCACGGTTTCAAGTAATTGAGAAAAGGTCGTTGACATTCAATACCTAGCGTATGATATAAAAAAATTTCTATGGAAGCTGTTAACTAACAGCAAAGACTACATTGTCCAATCTTAACAGAGAAAAAAAAAAATGTTTATAAATTAAATAAATATGTGGTTATTTAGCAGAAAATGGAATTCGGGCTTCTCAGCTAGTTCCACGGCGGAGCAAGCCACCGAAGGGATTGATGGGTCGGGTCTCACCGCCATTGTTACAGGTTTTTAACTTTCCTCTTTGCTTTTATTTTCATTTGTTGTCATTTATCCAACTTTTCTTTAAATTTGCATTTTTAAGGTCTGGGTTTCTGTGGTATATGCTAAAAATTTCATCTTTCAGTTAAGTTAATTTTTTTGAAAGTTGAATGACTGCACACTGTTCCTTTTAGCAGTTGGGAATGGTCGTGTCGTGTGCCCGCCCAAAAGAGTACTGCAAAAAACCTATATTCTTAGGTCTTACCTAGAGAAAAGATACTGAGAAAGACTTTTCCATTTGCTTAGATTACTCATTCGCCACTGAAAATTGGATAAACGTGCATTGAGTATAGAATTGTTAAATGAATCGAGCCGCGTGAGCTCAACTCGGCTCGTTAAGGTTCAAGCTCGCCTAAACCTTTTTTAGTTCCGCTCAGTTCGTTAAGGCTCAAAAGTAGAGATTTTTATATAATTTTCTATAACTCGGCTAGTTAAGACTCGAAGGTCGAGTTCAGTTTGTAAATATTGATAAATAAGATGAACTCGAGCTCGGCTAAGTTCTTTTACACTTCTAATTGGGCATATGCTCAATTTTGGTAAAGCTGTAGTTTGTTTTTTTTTTTGGTTGCATCCTCCGGCAGATTATCATATCTGAGCAAATTAAACAATCTGACATTATCTGATTATAATTGCAAAATTTGCACTTCAGGTCTAGCCTAATTACCAAAAGGAAAAGGAAAAAAAAAGAAAAAAAAGATGTCGGCTTTATCACAGAATTCAGTTGCCCCATCCTTGATATCTCATGCTAACTTTGACCTTCATTTACTTACAAATGTCGCCTTTATTGCTACTGCTATAAAAGGAGCTTCGAGTGGAATCGGGGCAGAAACTGCAAGGGTACTCGCACTGCGAGGTGTCTACGTCATCATGGCAGTACGAAACATCTCGACCGTACAGGAAGCCAAACAGGAAATCATCAATAGAAATCCGAAAGCAAAAGTCGATGCTATGGAGTTAGATCTTAGTTCTATGACATCTGTCAGGAAATTTGCATCAAAATTCAATTCCATGGGTCTTCCTCTGAATGTACTCGTGTAAGAATGTTGATGGTAAAATATATAATCAAATCGTTTTAGGCGGGATGAGATCTTCTGTCGGGTTTCTCTTTTTTTTTTAACCTTTTTTTTTCCTTACTTCAGAAAAATCAATTTAAAGTGATTTCTTGTTTGTTGGTTTCTGAAAGATGGAAGTTTTGTTTGTTTGTTATCCGAAGTGCATACACGTATGCAATATTTTTTGTGTCTACATTTTAGGAAGCAATTATTATTATTATTCTTTTCTCGTACCAGTATATTTTCACATTTTTCACCTTGTCTTATTATTGAATATATACTTATACCTTTTCACTAGGAACAATGCTGGAGTTATGGCTACACCCTTCATGCTTTCGGAAGATAACATAGAGCTGCAGTTTGCAACAAATCACGTGGGTAAGTATTTTGAACTTGTATTTGGATTTTAGCATAAATTTTGAAAGATTTCATTTTTTTTAAAACTGTACGGATAAGAATTTTTCAGTCTTTCCCTAGTCTCATGAGTTGAAAATCTTATTACTGAGCGATTAATTGCAGGACATTTCCTTCTGACAAATTTGCTGTTGGAAACCATGAAGAAAACAGCCATTGAAACGAGTCGAGAAGGAAGGATAGTGAACGTGTCATCCAGGCGGCACAAGTTTTCATATCCTGAAGGGATCCGCTTTGATGGTATTAATGATCAATCAAGGTAACTCGTGTTAAAGTATAAAATATGCTTATTAAAGTATCAAAGCACTTCCCCCCATTGTGCTTGGCATTTGAATTCTGTAATGTAATTAATATCTGAAAGAGATGGAAGAAAAAACGTAGTGTATTTACCTAAGTCGTGAATCGTAATATCTTGTGTCAGTAATATTTTTTATTTTTTTTTATAAACGCCATTTTTTTTCCTCATGATAAATGTACTCACTTGGTACAATGTGATTATGCTCAGGTACAACAGCTTAACTGCATACGGACAGTCAAAGCTTGCTAATGTGCTGCATGCTAATGAAGTTGCCAGACGTTTGAAGGTCAATTGGCTCTTGCTAAAGAATATCAAATCTTCTATTTCGAAACTGGTCTTAAATGTGAGATCAGAAAAAACTCTGATTAGGAGGGAGAGACTCAAACATCTTCAAATACATAGCGATTTACATATCTGTGTTAACATGTCACATGTTACGTTTTGCAATCAGTAAAAAAGATCTTGTTAATGTTTTGAAGGATGAGAAGGTGAATATTACCGCTAATTCAGTTCATCCCGGATTAATCGCCACCAATCTATTCCGTTATAACAGCTTTGTAAATGGTAACATTTTGCCCACTCTGAACTCATGCTATGCAATGTTACTTGTTTATGTGCCCCCGTTTTAGTTGGAGTATTGAATGAGTTGGCTTCTTTAACGTATAATAGTTCAGAAAGTAAGGGGCATTTTTCATTTCATATTATCCAATCCAATCCTCTTACTTTTGGTCACATCAGGTCTGATTGCTGCTCTTGGTAAGCATGTGATGAAAAATGTTCAACAGGTATTGTTATGTTTTTAAATGTGAGAATTTGAATTTGAAATCTCATATTACCGCGGTTTTGCTATGGAGCCATCGGATGACTCGGCTTATGGAAGTACATAAAGTTATGGATGACTCCATAGAATTTCTGCATATTACCAATCCTAATTCTTGTGGAAATTAGGACTAATTTGACATGTAATTTGACTAATTTGACATGTTTGTGTTTGTGCGGAAATTACTTGCAGGGAGCAGCAACAACGTGTTATGTGGCACTGCATCCAGACGTTAAAGGGATGAGCGGAAAATATTATGCAGACTGTAACTTGGCTGAGCCGAGCTTGCAAGCTAAAGATCAAGAATTGGCCAAGAAATTGTGGGATTTCACCCATAATCTGATATAGGACAATGTAAATTTTAACAAGAATTTGCCAATGGAAGATTTGATGCTGATACCCTTTTACCCAATTGTGCTCTCCTAATACATAATTGTGAACACAACTTATATGTCTAACCAATCTGTGATCATTTTTGCGCGTATACATTGGCATTTGTTTATGAACCGTTACATATATTGCCATTTTCTATTTCCACATAATCAAAGTGTCTCCAGCTCAACCCTGCAACTCCTTTGGGCTTACACTAAAAAAAGTGAAGTTTTTACAAGGCTTTACAGAATGTACAATAAAGAACACACTCAATTCATCTCCATCTCATTCCCTTCAGGTGCATCTCAAACAAGAATAAACAAGTTATAGGAGAGTAAATTGAATCTAGAAAAACCAAAACTTTTACACTCGATCCGCGTGGTGGCTAGTCATAGGTGCCCTGACGAGTTGCTGCAAAACCCGATCTGCCATTACCAACTGCTCTTTAACCTGCTCTTTGGCAGCACTCCCAAGATTCTTATTCTCACGAGAATGCTTTGCCCTTCGTAGAATCTCGGGATCCCAGTAAGGAGTGATATTTGTGCCGGGCATGTGTTTTGGAGAATCATGAAACGCCTCTGGTGGCAAAAGTGGTCGATTAAGGTGAGAATACCATACGGCACTATTAAGGCCCGGTGAGCTGGATTGGGTGGACTTTAGTGGTTGGGACTTTTGCAGCGTGTTCAGATTTTGAGGTGATCTTGAATGTGGGAGAGGACTCCCAATTGGAGGCACAGGGGGTGGTATATTTCTTGGAGTGTAAATATCACTGAAAATAAATATTAAAAAATTAAAAATCAAGTGAAGCTGCCAGGGCCGATTTTCACACGTCCTTGAAATTGTTATTACATCTTCATTTTTACTATTTCATGTATAAACACAAGGGTTTTGCAGCTTCAAGAAGACTAGCAACTGAAGATATGCAGGGATTAATTGCAAGAAATGCCCTTGTGGTAAGCCTAATTACAGATAAAGAACTCCGCTGTCTTTGAAATTATTGAGATACCCTCTTTCGCATTCAGTGTTTGATTCTATTTTACAGCACCTCAACTGCAATTTTGTTAAGAACTTGTGTATCTGAAGGTGCTGGTAGTAATGTGATGCCATAAGTGCTGGTAGTGTTTATTTTGTTTATTTGTAGTTTTCATGATTATTCTATAATGGCACGGACACAGAAAAACTATGATTTCTATGTTGCATGGAGAGAGAGAGAGAGAGAGAGAGAGACCTTGGATGAAGATTAGAGTTTGATGCTCCCAGCATAGAAGGTACAGTATCTGTTGGATAACCCTGAAACGTAGTGACCCTTGTTTGTTTTGTTAAAGGTGACCAATTTTTTACGAAAGGATGTTCCAAAAGCTCAGAAGCTGTGGCTCGATGCACCGGGTCCCACTGCAAGCAACGACTCACGAAATCCTTACCTTCATCCGACAGATGATCGGGAATTGATGGGAGTTCCTTATGATATGCAACCTTGAACATCGCCCCACCCTACAAAAGCCAGGACAAAAAAAAAATGACCAAATAAAGTTTGTGCATCAGTTCTGCGTATATGTACATCATCTGTTCTCCTTCTCCTATCTTTCATTTATTTATTTATTTATTTTTTCCTCATGTATTTAATGCATAAAAAATTCCAATATGGTCAGATTAGAATAACACTGGAAACACACCTTTTTATATTGGCTTAAGGGCGGTTCAGATGTTGCCATTTCTATAATAGTGCACCCAAGACTCCATATATCCATCGCTCTGTTACAGGTGTTCGGGTTCATTATGACCTGAGCCAAAAAAAAATAAAAAGATAAAATATATTACTGTGCATATAAAAAATCAACCCACAGAGGCCATATTTAATAGGAAATAAACAAACCTCAGGTGCCATCCAATAAGAGCTATCTGTAAGCAGTGATGGCCTGGATTGCACTGCAATCTGGAAGACGTAACTTTCTATGTGAGATCAAATTTTCAAGAGAGAACAAGTACTAGAAACTAAAACTTTAGTCTAATTACAACAGGAGTGAATATGAACAATTAACAATATTAACAATCTATACAATATGAACGAATATCCAAATTCTCAGTTTCTCACATCCACAAATAAATTGATCATGACTTTTTTAATTACCACCGGATAACTAAATAAAAGTAGATTAATGCAAATTGCCGTGATTGATTCCCATGCACATACTCATTAGAACCTATGCTAATTAACCATAATATAGAGATCTGTACTTTTCTTTCAATGCCGAAACAGGACAGCTTAACTCCACCGTTCGGGTCAATAAGTATTGTGGCCCCTCTTATATCCCTGCAACATTTTGTGCATCAGAGAAAGATTTGAAACGATCAAACGTTTTGGGAAATGAAAAAAACAAGTAAACCACGATTCCAATACATTGTAATCTAATTTTACCCATGTGTAATATATTTGGAGTGCAAATAAGCTAATCCCAATAAAATTTGTTGAGTATAAATGCGGATGGCTGATTCTCCTAATTTTCCATATTCTTTCAGAACCTTCTGGATGCATCCACCAGCGACATACTCAGAATATACATATACATTACCACCAACCTGGTCAAGGAAAATAGCTCAATGTTAGTAGAAGCTCAAGAAAAATTACTCCAAATACGTACAACTGAACATGTGTTGGCATTATCATGCTGCTGTGATTTCTGCGCTTGAAGTATAGTCTGATAATATTTTTCCAATTTTTTAGCTAGCAAATGAAATGCAAATGAAAAAAAAGACACAGAAAGAAATAAAAAGTAACATAGATTAAAGATTATGTGCCTAGTAGATTACATAGCCAACAGAAGTCTAGGGTAAGGAAAAAGTGAAAATGCCGGAAACAAACTAACCATTTCAGATCCGTAGTACGACACAATGTTGGGATGCTTTAGGGTGGACAATAGTGCAATTTCCTGCAATTGAATAAATACAAAAATTTCTAATCAACTTGAAAGAAAACAAAAAAACAAAGGAAAAGAAAAAAGGAGAAAAAACACTGCAGGAGGAAATAATACCAACAAGCAAAAGGGTCTAATACACATAATACCAAAAAGATAGGAGTCTTTTCAAATATACAATGTCCAAGCAACTCACTGTTCTAAACAACATGGCAATTTGATTTGGCTTTACACCGTCAGGTTGCAGGTAGAACTCCTTCATAGCACACATTTTACCTTTTTCACTGAAACCAACAAGAAATGGCTAAAATCAAGGAACATCATCAAACCGAAAAATCTAAAAAACAAAACCTCTAATGAAACCACCCCCACCTCCGAAAAATGCAACTATATAATAGCCATAGTACTCACCTATTAAAACCCAGGTAAACGTTTCCAAATGCGCCCATACCGAGCAGCTTCCCTCTTTTCCAACTCATGTCAGGGCTTTTATGACTCCCTGCTCTTTCTGGACTATACAATGGTCCCTTAGGCGATGCGGTAGATGAATTTGGACGAGATAACGGAGAATAATTAGAAATTGGCTCCGGGGGAAGGGGCAAAGGATAGCATTGTTGTTGTGCATCAACAGGCCAATCAGCAGGGGATTCAGAGTGTCCCCCAGCAGCTCTTGGATGAAGTCTTGAAAAGTGAACAGGA